CCTCCCTTAGAAGTCTTATGGCTAAAGCTGTGTACAGCTGAAATAGCCAACTGCTAAAAATGCCATGTGAACAGCGACGCAGACTTGGCACAACAAGCCTGGATTTTAAAGGCTTCCCTATGCATCGTTTCCTTGGTACCTGTTTTGGGGAGGAGCATTAGGGTCCTGCTTTTTACTTTTTGACCCTACATTATCTTTTTTAGGTTTCTTCTTCTTTGGCTTTCCTTCCTCATTTTCTCCTTCTTCATCTTCATCATCCAAAGGCACATCAAACTCTGGTTCTTTCAATAAGCCAAAGAAAACCTACAAGCCAATAAAACACACAAGACAAAACAGTAATTGCTGTTCTTACCAAAAACTAATTTTTTAATGGCAACTTTTCAGTGTAAAAGTCTAAGCAATAGAGCTGCCCCTTTAAAACTTCTGTTTAATATTACCACATATGTTACTGCTCAGCCCATAACAAATGTAGTACATGTTTTTCTGGTTTACTTAGCAACTGATCTGGACAACTATAAGTTCTTCCACCATCTCTTAGCCCTTCCTTAAGGTGGAATCCCTACACCTTACCTAATTTATTTGTATAGTACTGTGGTATTACACAAACAGCCCTTGCAGTAACAAGCGGTGGCAAGTAAAAATTACATCTGTTGTACAAAAGAGGAAGCCAAATAGTCAAGTGTCCATTTTAAAACTCCAGAGTAATTAATGAATTGGTTTATTTCAGTGGGCTGGACACAAGGTTGTCTCTCAAAAGGTTCAGCAGTTTCTTCCACCAAAGAGTGACATACCTTGATCTCTCTATTCCTGTCAACAACTATTTGTACAGTTCACTTCCTTTGTTCAGTTCACACTGTCTTTTAAAATCTCAAGCTACAATTGTCAGTCTATACTATGGGATCTCCCTAAAAAACTAGGGAAATTTGTTTAATTATAGAAGTGCAAAAATCTTTGCCTCCTACCTTTGCTTTATTAGCCTCTCGTTTTGCCTCCCCAGCCAAGCTTCCAACCATAGCATCTATCTGTTGTTTGCTGCGAGGCATTCCATCAAAGATATCGATGTAAAGATGCTCCTGAACAATGTTCCAGATCTGATTGTTCTGCTTTTCCTGAAGATGCCTCTTCAAGAGTTGGTAAGAGTCACGGGAAATACGCAGCACAAACTTGCTTGTTCGGAAATCCAGCATGGTCTCATTACCTTTCATGTGCTCTTTTTTGGTTAAGCTAGACAGTACACGCAGGTCATCCTGGTAATAGCACTCCTGATCCCCATGAAACCTATTGAAACAATTTAACAAAGGTTTATTAGGAAAACATTGTCTTCTAAGGGCACACTTATTTACATTGCTTGAACATAAAACATAAATGTAAGGACCATTTGGGAGCTACTGACTACATATGGGATTATTTTTCTGATGAAATTAAATTCATCCAGGGGAAGATACACCAGTGATTTACTCTGCATAGTAAGAGCATTCAGCAGTTAAAAAACAAGATGAAGAGAATACACAAATGGAACCTCTCAGGATGTCACACACCCAAAGGGTTCTTGCCTGAAGTAAATAGTTACGCTTACATGTTTATTTCCAGAAATTAAACCCTAATTTGTGGTACCATATAGTACAGGGCATTTTTTATTACACAGGACTACTTGGATGCCTTTATGTCTGATTCATTATATGAATATATACATTTCACAGTCTACGTGTTTCTCACTCTCCACTTGCATTATCTAATACCTAACATATGTTTAGAATTTTCCATTTTTACTCGACTTGTTATAAAATAGTTGTGGCAAGGGGCATTTTAACTATTTATTGTTACAGAACCATTTTTGCTGATCATGTGGAGGGAGACACAGTTATCCTTTTGGATTGAAGTATTTCATAACTGGTCTGAATCCAAAAAACAAATTAAATTTAATTTTATTTTCAATTAATAAACAAATGAAACATAGCAAGAGCACAGACAATTACAGATTAGCCATAAATTAACATCTTTAATCTCATTTGAAGAATTTCAATGTACGTGCTATGATATTAGCAAATACTTAGAGTGTACATTACTTTGGCATCTCAGTGCAATTTTCAAGTGCTAAAAAACGACCCCACAATCTTTCCCTAAAGATGAAACATCTCTTCATTGATACTTCTGCAGCAAGGAGCCCATCAGCACACCATAAACATGGTTCAAAATCTGCCAATGGACAGTTCAAAAGCATGTAGTCTGCACATGCAGACTACAGGAGACTGGAAAACAATTTAAGAACAGTTACTGCAATCCATGATGGCATCATTGCTTCAGATTTCAAATCTCTTCAACTTTAAATAAGAAAAATAATATGGACATATGTATATGTATACAAACCTATTCTACTGTAGCTCACAGGTTTAACCAAAGCAGCAAACACAAAATAACACAAATGCACAAACGAAAATGAATTACCTTTCAAAAAAAGACTTTGCCTCACTCTCGTGTTGATTGTAGACCAATTCCAAGTACATGTGCACAAAGAGAGGATAAAACAGCTGAGACAACTCTGCTCGATGACAGTCCAGGGAACACTCGATGAAGTGTTTCAACCCGCTGTAGTACTCCTCGTACAGCGTCGGGTCCCCTTGCTGGTTGTAGGCCGACAGTACTGCGCTCACATCTGGCTGATCCTCCACAACCACAGCACCTCCAACTGCAAAACCATCAGCAAACAACAAGAGCTTGTCAGCCTGGAAGAGCCGGTGAGCAAACAGTGGCCACAACCCGCTGGTCAGGTGAGGCAACAAGCAAAACACGCCGTGTGACTGTTCAGCACCAAGTCTAAACCACAGAGCTGAAAGGGTGGTGGCACTTTACAGTCCAGCAGCCAATTTTCCCAGCACCTCCAGCAGCTTTTTGGGCTTTTCCTGCCAACAGCTGCCTGTAAGGTATCTAACCCAGTGCCTAATTCAGCCAGTATTATACATATAAAGGAAGAAGCCACTAACATCACCAGAATAAGTTATCTTTACCACTAGGACTAGAAACTCTAAACGAGGAGCAGAATGTAAGACATACCCACTATAGTTATTTTGCATCCAGTAAAAAAGCAACTTAAGTTCATTAAGTGAACAATTCACTAAGAGCACCTCGCAACTGTCACAGAACAGGGACACTTTTAACATTCTGATAGCTCTGTTCTACACAGCAATCGTTACACACTTTCATTGTCTTGTCTTTTACATAAAAACAATCGTATTAGGTGGTGGCAGGAACAAGCTGACTTTATGCTGTACATTCACTGGAACTCAGACTATCAGTTCCTGAAATTTCATTATACTATTCTGTAAAGCTGCCTCACAGAACCCCTTGATTAACAATACTCAGAAATTAATTATCCAATGGACATCTCAGGTACCCAGCAACTCGATCCAGAAATGCAGAATGCCTCATCCACAAGCATCTTATGCTTCCATCAAAATGCAGCCTGTACATCAGACCTCCGTTCTCATCCCTGCTAACTACAATGGAAATCGAGAGTCTCCTGCTACTCTGTTAGTCGAAATGGGACACAAAGATACGGGGAAGCACCTCTCACTTCGACAGTTCTCCCTTCAAACACGACAGACACCCTATCCTTGGTCCCTTGCTCCAGGAGATCCGGACTTCTCCACGGATTGCATGGGAAATGACACACACAGGGACCTCTCAGAAGTCCGGGGTAGACTCTCGGGGGCATGACCTGACACCGACCCTCGTGTTCCAGCACCACGGGGAAACCCCGAGGCTGCGAGCGGCACACTGGCCCCCTCTCCCAGGGGTCCCGCCCAGAGGAGGCACCGACCCCCCAGCGGCCGCGGGCCCCACCTTTCCCCGGCGGCACGGCGGCAACTGCGGCCACGCCGGGGCTGGAAGTCGCGACAGTGCCGACGCTGCCTCCGATGGCGATGGCGGCAGCGCCGGTGCCCCGGCCGAGCAGCGCCTCTCCGGAGTCCGCGTCGCTGCCGGAGCCCCCCAGGAGCCCGGCGCTGGCGGGGCTGAGCGCGGCGGAACCCAGGTCGTCGCCGAGCAGGCGGGCTTCACGGCGCAGGATCTCCTCGGACTCGCGGAGGTTGCTGCGCCGCAGGAACTGCAGCACGGCCACGAGCGTCTGCCGGTCCAGCGCCGCCGGGGAGGCGGCCGGGCCCGGCGCCGCGGGCTTCGCGGGCGCCGCATCCCCAGCGCCCGTCGCAGCCTCTCCCTCCGCCGCGGCGGCCATGGCGGCGGCGGGAGCGGCGGCGGGAGCGGCGGTGGCGGTGGGCACCGCGGGCGGCGGCGGCGGCGTCCCCGCCTCGGGGTCCGGCTGCGCCGCCGCCACCTCCGCCGGCTCCTCATGCAGCGCCGCCATCTTGCGCCGCCGCGGCCGCCGCCACGCGCGACCGCCCTTGCGACAGTGAGGGCAAAGGACGGGCAAGCGACCGCTGCTTCGGGCACGCGACGGCTTCGTTTTGCGACGCTGGCGGGAGCGCTTTCCGGCTGTGAGGGGCGGCGGGAGCAGGTTTGTGAGGGGGTTTCACGGGGCTCCTTGGAGGGTACCGAGGATGGCCTTGGGACTGTGTGCCCTCTGGGGCCTTAGCGGCCGTGCTCCGAATTAGGTTAATTAGGGCTGGGCCTCTCGGTTTTTCATGTATTTCTAATACTGCTTCTTTTATTCGTGTTTGTTAAACAGAAGTTCTTTTGTACTCGTGGAAAGGGTGAGAGAGCAGGGGGTGTTCGGGCTGGAAAAGGCTCCGAGGAGACCTTAGACCACCTTCCAGTGCCTAAAGGGGCTACAAGAGAGCTGGAAAGTGACTTCTTACAAGGGCGCATAGTGACAGGACAAGGGAGAATGGCTTTAGACTGACAGAGGGCAGGTTTAAATTAGATATTGGGAAGAAATTCTTCCCTGTGAGGATGGTAAGGAACAGGAACAGGTTGCTCAGAGAAGCTGTGGCTGCCCCATCCCTGGAAGTGTTGAAGGCCAGGTTGGATGGGGCTTTGAGCAGCCTGGTCTAGTGAATGGTGTCCCTGCCCATGGCAGAGGGTTGGAACTGGGTGATCTTTAAGGTCCCTTCCATTTCATTATGTTACAGAATTAAAACCTTATTTCGAATGAAACTGGTATCTTGTGATTGGCGTTATTTTCTGACAAATTAAACGTGTGCCATCGCTTCACTAGAGAGTCACTTGAAAAAAACTTAAGAAAAAGAACCCTCGGGCTATAAAAACTGCAGACCAGTTGTGACTCAGCGCATGCGTGGTGGCTCTGCCCGTGTCCGCTCTGACTACATTTCCCAGCGTGCCCCGCGGTGTCCCCGCGCATGCTCCCGGCACCACGGAGAGACCCGCGGTGATCGCGGTCCGTGGACATGGAGGAGGGCGCTGGGAGGGGGGTCTCGGGGCCGTCGGGCGCTGATGGAGCGGGAGCGGGAGCGGGAGCAGGAGCAGGCCCGGCCCCGGCCGATGAGGACCGGGACATGGAGGGGGCCCCCAGCTGCTCGGGGTCGCGCTCCGTCCCTTTCGAGTTCCAGCGGAGCCGCTCGGAGTCCACCGGCGATGAGGACGACGACGACGACGAAGACGACGACGAGGAGGAAGAGGAGCTGGAGGGGGACGCCGGGGCTCGGTTCGGGACGGATGACGGGGAGCACGACTCGGGCGACGACCGGGAGGTAAAAGGGGCGGGAGGGTTCCCGGGGCTCTCCAGGCCCCGCTCCCGACGTGCCCCGCGTGTGGGAATGGGGCGTTTTAATGTTTGTTTTATTGTTACTCGAGTTCACTTTGTCCGTCTCATTCCAAAGAAGCCCTTACAAACTCTCGCCGTGGCTGAGAGGGTGGTAGGCGGTTGCACGTGGGCGAATGAATGGTGGTGTTGAGGGAAAGAAAGCCCTTCAGTCGGCTTTCAGACGAGAGCGAACGGGACGTAAAAACCTAATGTGTTACCTTCTTCACACGCATCTCAGATCGTTGCTATTGAAAAACTTGTTCTTTTTTTGAGATAGTGTTGTTCAGACAGGAAAGTTGTTGTGGAACTACTTGTGTGCTTTCCCGATAAGCGTATTTTCGTGAACAGAATTCAGAGCAGTGAAGTTTCATTCTTTGCTTCAATATGTGTTTGTATAATCCCTAACTGTGTGTAGAAACAAGAGATGGCTGTCCCTTGTGATATAAACTCGTTATATATCTTGATTGTGGGCCCCAAAACGCCTGATGAGCATTTTCAAATGATATTGTTTGCTACCCCTGTCCACTTCAACCTTGCTGACTATTTGATATTTTTTAAAAGAGTTTATGCAAAAGAACTTTTCTCAAAATGATTGTTTAAAGTTTGCTTTTTAGATATGATTCATGAAACCAGTTGGATTGCCACTCTCCAAAAGGTCAATTTAGAAGACTAGGTGAAAGTCTTTAGAAAAGATCTGTATATGAGGAGTGATTGACCTCTTAGGAAAAGCCATTCCTCTAGCCTGTTGATCCCAGGTTTTTTCATGGTTTAAGGCTACGGTATATTGGAAGTTGCAATCAGGAAATTTCAGGGCTTAGCCTGTGTATTCAAACTCTTACAAACTGTCTTTGTTTGTAGCGTATGATAAACCTCACAGAGTTGACCCCTTATATCCTGTGTTCCATCTGCAAAGGTTACTTTATTGATGCTACAACTATTACAGAATGTCTGCACACCTGTAAGTATCAGTGTTATCTGTTTAAGAGTTTAGTTGCAAATTCAAACAAAATCAGTGTTGAGATGTTCTGGGTTCACAAAAATAATTGTTTGAAGTGAATGTGTGTTGTGTTTATTCTGTTCCGTAAGGGACATATATTTGTGCATACTTAAAGCATCAAAAAATCATGAAATCACTCAATCACCAAGTCTGCTTTCCAAGTTAAGAGGGAAAACGATGTAAGAAAAGAAAAAGCCCAAATAAGACAAAAATAGAGTTACACTTTCTTAATTACTTTTTTTAAGTAGGCTCCAGGAATTTGAGTATATAACTGAGAAAAGAAAGTTAAGTGGCTCTGCTTATAGTGGACTAAAGAGTTTCCTAAACTGTTGTTGATGTGAATTCACAAAGTTCCATAAGCACCTGTGTGGAAGTACCAGTTCAGATACAGAAATTGTGGACTGCACCCATGGGAAAGTTTGTCTATAATCTCATGAATAGAAATAGATGGGTAATAAAAAAAAATTATTTCGATGTGCTTGTCTCATTCTTCTTCCCCTCAGTCCTAGTGCTAACAGCTTTTCCCTTGGTAACAGAACTATTTTCTCTTAAAGCTAATAAAACCCTTTCTGTGAAGCTGATTTTCAGCTACACCCATGTTCCTACCTGAATCCGAGAATCCTGGCTTCCTAGACCTCCCAGCCACTCACAATACGAAGAGGGAAAACTCTTTTTCATTTTTTTTTTCCCCTTTTTGGGGGCACTGCTGACTAGTTTGTTATATAGCTGATGGTGTTCAGCACAGTTTGTAATTTAGAAAAAAGCACAACTGTTAGTAAGGACGACATAATGTTGCAAGTGCAGCTGTGGTGGTCTCATAGAAGTTTCCTGGTAAATGTTGTGGAAAAGTTTGTTGTATTCAGGCTTGTAGGGAGCTGATTTGATAGTAGGTTATATATTCTAGATATTTTCTCTTGTTAGCTTTCCTTCCAAGTTTTCTAAGTACATGTAAAACAGAATGAAAATGGCAGTTATGATTTCTTACTTTGTTTCTACTGAAACTGTTTTAGGATATTTTTCAGCAGTCAGTATTCTGTTGTCTTAGTTCTACTCATGTTCTAGATAACACTGTTGCAACATTGAACACCCACCTTTGCATCAGTTGAATTAGGAGTGTTCGATGACTTACTTCATTTTGCCTCTTGACAAATTTTATTTGGGAGGTCTGGGTGTAATTGTTCCTCTTGCCTGAACAGATGGCACTGTATAATGGACATGTGACTCCCACGGGGTTTCTTTTCTTTACAGTTTGTAAAAGCTGCATCGTGAGACACTTCTACTATAGCAACAGATGTCCAAAATGCAATATTGTTGTACATCAGACACAGCCCCTTTATAATATCAGGTAATAAGTTTATGCCATTTTTTATAGATTTGCTGCTTGCTTTTAAATGTTTTGGTTTGCAGACTTGTAGTGCTTTCCTATTTCAAATGAAGGAACAGCTGCAAGAAACACATTGTGTTCTTTGTTTACATAAGTTTCATCTCAATAGTTAAGATAAAAACCCCTCAATATACTGTTTTATCTAGTTTGTATCCATTTCTAGGGTTTATTACCTTCTACCCTGGTTATTTTTATGTGTTTACTCAATGTTGGAGGTGATATGAGCTGCATCATACAAAGATAAAGCTTTGTTGGGATGGTATACTTATTAACTGAAAATTGAGTTTTAACTTCTTGAGCTGTTCACGAAGGGTGGTGCTTTGAACTTTACATGACTTCTGTTGGAGCTCTGCTGTCAGGATGTGTATTTTGAAAGATGTGGAGTTGCTGCTCCACATGCTCCTTTATGTACATCATGTTTCAACAGTGTATTTTGCATCTTTGTTACAATAAAATGAAACCCTTTCATGTTGCACCAAAGACTTTCTTTTCTTTTTTTCTGTTTCGTAGACTGGACCGGCAACTGCAAGACATAGTCTATAAATTAGTTGTCAATCTTGAGGAAAGTAAGTCCCTTTCTTTATTGCCATATAGAAATTGAAAAGACTGAACAGGAAACAGAGTAATTAAAAGCTCTGTTTCTACTCTGGACTCTTTAAAATAGTTTTGTAATGTTTGGTTATAAACCTTAATGAATTAACCGTGATTGCTGTCATGTTTCTGCCTGCTAAGTGCTATTAAGGGTAGCAATGTGTACCCTATCTTGTGAAACACAGGTGTCACTGTATTCAGGTAAACATCCAGGCAATATTTCATAGTCGTGCCTCTTATTTTTGTAGAAGTATACCATATTCTGTGTAACAAGCTCACTTGACTTGGTTGAAATAAGTTGCTAAGACTGATTCTCTCAAATTCTTTTAGTTTTTCTTCTTTTCTGCCATATTTATTTGTCTGATTTTTAAATGTGTTCACTGTCTCATTTACTTTCAACTTTGGGAGCCAACAATCTAGTGGATATGTATGGACTATAAAAAGTATAAAAAACAGTCATGGACGCAGAAGGGTGCTGTTTTTTGCAGCTATCTCAGTATGATTTATGGCAAATTTCTCTGATTTCTTCCCAGTTTTTACTAACAAAATCTTATTCTGAGTATCTTAAGTGTCTCAACCTCATATGGAATACTAGTGATGGTGAAGGTCTGTAGGAAATTTGAGAATTTTTACTGTTCTGACCACTGGAATTTACATGGATATTTTCAGCATCTGAAATAACATTTCAATCTGTGTATCGTGGCTTTTCTTTTTTTCAGGAGAGAAAAAACAAATGCATGACTTCTATAAAGAAAGAGGATTAGAAGTGCCCAAACCAGGTGAGCTGTAATCACTTTAGGGGGCACTGTTGGGGAAGTACTTACTATATAATTTATTCATAAGGCCTTAAAATATTAGCTCAGAACTGACAGAGATGTGTGTATTGGAAATTTGGAATTCTTGGTTATCTGACTACTATAACTTGTCACAAATCTCAGATTACGAAAATAGATGGAATTGGCAACACTTAAACCCAGATAAGGGTTGGATTGTTTTAGCTATGTATTTTGCCTACGACCGGGAAATGCATGTTATATTGTGCATTAATTTTATTTTCTGGACCTTAATAAATAATAGACATTACAAAGAAGTAAAAATAAGAACTTCAAAGTCTGCTCACAGATTAGGGCTTATTCTAATTATTTTGTGTTTTACTATCAAACAAACAGCTCTTAGGAGAAGGGCCTTGCTGGAAGTACTAAAATGCTGGTTCAAATACACAGCATACAATGTAGGAAGACCTGATTTAGTAATAAAAAACAGGATAAATTATATGGGCTTTTTTTCCTGATGAGTTCTTCTGTTTTGCTTGGTGCATATTAGCATCTTATGCTGTTTTTATTTCAAATTGTCTTTGCATTTTGGCTTTTTGAATATTTTAGCTGTCCCACAGCCAGTTCCAACGAGCAGAGGAAGACCTCGTAAGGTTCTAGGCTCAGTGTTCCGGATTCCACCGGAACTTGACATCTCCATACTTCTGGAGTTTATTGGGTGAGTTGTGGGCAAATGGAAGAGCAGCTGGCTGACACGAAGGTGCTGCTTGTGTGTGTTGGACCATTAACTGGCCCTTGGTTTTCATTAAATGTGCATTTCTTCATCTCAAATAGCAGTGGGGAGTTGGTTTTAACTTGCAGTGCAATAGTGACAGCCAATCATAGCTAGATAATGCAAATAATTAAATGCTTAAGATGTGTCTTTCTAAAAAATAGCTTCCCAGAAAGTGTAGTTTTAAAACTTACATGCGTTTTGGTTTTGACAAGGTAGCACAGTCTCAGGAAACTGAACGGTGGAATCCCTGTCTGTTCCAGTCCCCTCATCCCTGTAGGTGGCAGTACTGTTAATGCTGGCTGTCCTTGGATTGGCTTGTGGGAAGTGTAACTCTTACCTCTATCCAGATTGTGCCTCCTTTTGGCCTGAATTTGTCTGAACAAAACATTGAGATCTCCAATACATAATCATAACAAACTATTACACAAATGACATAAAATTAAGCCCTCGGAAACTCAGAAGTTCTATTGGCAAAGCATATCTTGATTCAGCCTCACTCTTTGTAGACATCTTTTTATATGTTATGTCCAGTTTCTCCACTGTGTGTCGCTTTATTCAGAGTACAGAACAAATTTTCTTCATGGGTAAATTTTAGTAAGGTAGGTGGTGGCGTGTGGTTTTCTGTTTTGTTGGCTTTATTTTTGTGTTGCCCATCGTGTGTCTTCTTTATTTCTTTAAATGGATGAGGAGTGGGACTGCAGGAAGAAAAGGGAAGGTCTTAAAGTTGAACCTCTAGGGAACAAAAGAATATCCTTGTGTGTTAAAGTTTTGACTCCAGGCTCTCAACTCCATTACATAGGTTTACTGGCACAAATCAGTCATCTGATAGCTCAAGCTGGTACCTCACTAGAGGGACCACAACAAAAGAAATCCCTGGGCAACTACACTCTTATGACCTAAACTCCCCATCCCTCATGGAAGTCCAGAACAATAGTGATTTTAGGGTCTGGGATCTTCTCATTCTTCTTTGGTTCACTGTTTCATTATCCAGTGCTTGCTGTGAGATCATCTTCACATCCTCTTTAGTCTGTTTTGGTCAGGTCCATGTTGTAATATGGTTGTTACTGTTCATATACGACAATATATGGGCTGTCCACTCCTGCTGTTATTTTTTAAATAGTATTTAAGGTGCTAGCTTTGTCTGTTCTAACTCTTGTTAATGTTCAGGTTGTTAGCTGCAGGTTTTGCTGTAACCCATCTTTGATTTATGCAACAGAGCCGTGTAGTTCAAGTAGAGTTCAACTTGCGGCCTAACAAACAATCCTTGCTACTAATGTCAGGCAAGCACTCAGCTGCTTTCAAATAATATAAATTTCTTGACACTGTGAATCCATATACCTGACTTAATTTCAGTTCATTTTCTCATGCCTGCCTTGCAGCTGAATGCTTACAAGCACAGCTGACAGCAGTGGGAGTCATTACTAAAACTATCGAGTGTTCTGCTGGCAAAACCAATCTTGGTTATGAGGGATTGATAAAGCAAACTTGGAATAGCCAGAAGAAATTGTTACTTTGAAATTCTCTATTGTGTGTTTAGAGTATATAATCTAGTCACCTGTGGCTGTGGAACTGTATCAAATAAAATGACAGCTGTAGTGAAAAAGCTTTTCTATGTTTCTTAGCTCATGATAGCTTTACTTAACTCTGATATCTGGTATATATTTAGAGGTGGAGATGCTCAATTACGGTAACTTGAAGTGCTGTGCTAATGTGTGGTCTGCACATTTATTTGTTATACCAAATGGTCAGTTGATTTACAGTGATGTTTGATTTTTGCCTTCTCCAGTGCAATGAAATACTTCATTTTTTCCTCTCTCATGTGTACTTGCTAATGCAGTGCAAGAATAATAAAATGTCATGGATTGGGTTTAATTAAGGGACAAATTTATATGTTGCACTACAAGAGGAAGGTGTGGAGTATGGATGGTCAGTGGTAGGTCACAGGCTCCAGATGTGCAAATCAGTGAACCTTGGTGGAAGCCAGCTGGGAATTTGGTCATTTGCCATCTTTGTGTGTATTTCACATTCCAGAGAAATGCTGCTTTTCTGAGTCCCGAGATAACATTAATATTGTCATATAAATAGTCTGGAAGGCCAGCAACTGGCTCAGGGAGCCCCTTAGGTGTTTGTGTGTGTTCTATGAGTAACTTCTTAGGTACTGTCTGCTGAAGTTCCAAATATCAAGGACCTTGAAGTATGAATATTTAAGCAGCATTAATATTGCAACCAACTCCTATGAAAATTAATGTTGTGTTTAAAAATGGCTGTAGGCTGTGTTGGTTTTTACTCCCATTTCATGTAGACAAACCTTAAAGTCATAAATAGTTGAATTCACAAGAAAAAATTGAGCAGAAAAATAAGGGATAGGAGAAAAAGATGTATAAATTTAGTCTAATATTATTTCATGTATTAGAGCCTGAACTGGGAAAATAAGCTTGATATGCAAGACTCATAAATCGATAAGTCTCTGTTATAAAGAGCTTGAGGATATTATTAACTGTTAGCTTTAGCAATATTGACTGTGTTTACTCTTGATTTTTTTTTTCCAGAGCTAACGAAGGCACAGGGAATTTTAAGGTACAGATGTGATTTGAATTTTTCTTTTATGGTTTATTTCAGAAATAAGTATACCCTGAATGTATTTAATTTAGTTTGGTTTTCTTACACTGAATGCATCCTGAACTTTCATCAGCATAGTAATAACCAATATTGGATTGCAGTGTGTATTTTCAAATCTATTGTTATATACCATCATGCCTATCTAGCATTTTTTCTTCTTTTTACCCTTACATTTCACAGTATATTTTTCATGTTCTTGCCCTTATATCACTTCCTACCCTTTCTGTCTCACATTTGCCCTCCTTTCTGCTTTGTTGTTTGTCCTGTTTGTTTTGGGCTACACAAAACAGGGCAGTTGTGACGCCCCACCCTTAAGGGAAATTCCCTCACAAGAACTAGATGTAGAACTTAATATATATATATAAGGGATATGATAGATATATATCATATCCCTTTATATATATATATATAAGGGATATGATATATAGATATATAGATATATAGATATATAAGGAGTTATACTTAATATATAAGGGATTTCAACTGTCCTTTTTGTAAGTGGGGATGGGGGAGTAGAGAACGGGTTACCAGGTCCATGGCCATAAACTGATTTATGCATGCAGCAAGCCTAAATTCAGCATCCTCGAGCTTGCAGCAGCAGGGTCCCCAGATCAGGTCTGACTGTAATTTCTAGCTCCTGCACATGAATAAATCAAACTATTGTTCCCAAAGCAGAGTTATCATGGATACTTATTTAAATGCATGATTGAATTCAAGGTTAGTCCATGACCCTCAGCTCGTTCTTTTATTTTGAAAGAATACGACGAACCTGGGTAGTAAATCACATCTGTTCAGAAGTCAACATAAAAATCCAATCAATTGACACAAAAAGTAATCCATTTATCACACTGAATGCAGTCATCTGCTCTGCCTTTGTGCCTTTTCGTGTAGTCATCCATATCACCAGTCAGCTGTTTAAAATTTAATCCATAGAATGGAAGCCTATTAAAATTTTTGAGTCTGACATAATGAATGTCTTCTTGTTGCAGTCCTGTCTGTGAAAGTATTTAGGAAAAAGCAAAAAGATTTAAGACTAGTCTTGCCCTTGTTTTCTGCATAATAGTATATTTTAATTGATTCTGGAATTTCATGGGCTATTAAGCATGAGCCATACTACTTCTAGAATGCTAAAGGACTTAAGCTCCTTGCATCATAAAATGATGGGGTTTAAGTATCTGTGTTTAGTATACAAGCCTGATTTGGAGAAAATATGGAAACATTAGGAAATTTTCTTGTGCTTCAGATGAGTAAATCCTTGTAGGGGGAGAAGTTCTTAAAATAAAATAGGACTGAAGTCAGTCGCTGGTTATTTTTTAAATGTTTTAAACAGAAGGAAGTTTGAATACAGAGTCTTAATACATATTTATTTCTTTCCCTATGAGGTAATCTGCTAGTAGATCAGAGAAAGGTCCAAAAATTTAAGCTCTCTCCCTTTGTTATTGGACGGTCACTTGGGTTTGGAGTTTACAAGGGATGAGGGCTGAAAATGTACATTGTCTTAAAATCTTTACTTATTCTTTGCAGCCTTTGGAAAAGAAGTTTGTGCGTGTTTCTGGGGAGGCAACAATTGGACATGTGGAGAAATTCCTCAGAAGAAAAATGGATCTGGACCCTGCTTGTCAGGTATGCACTTGCAGTGGCACTTACAAGTTCCCTGTGATCAGTGTAATGCCTCTGCTTTGGGCAGACATTACCATTGTTCTTTAGATTCTAGAAGTAATGTTAGATTAATGCAGTAAGGATTAAAAAACTAATTGTTTGAAATGTTGTGATCTGCAAGGAGCAGCTCTCCTAGCTCATTCGCAACCTCTTTAAATTTTCATAATACTTTATTAATTGGATAGAGTTTTTAAAGTGCCATTTAAGATTTCAGCTGATGAAATTCAAAACTAAGAGATACTGCTGTTTCAAAGGTAAAACGGGACAGGAAAGTGTGAGAATGTGGGAGTATATGAAGGCAGGAGCTGAATAACAATAAAATTTAACTGAATACAAACAAGGGCTAAGAAAGAATGATGGATGTGTTGAAATGAAAGGTGCGAATGCAAATATAGACACTTCCCTCCAAATAAGAATTCAAAGGAGCAAAAGAATTTAGCTTCGTATTTCTCAACCATTTTGAGAGGAACTGCATGTCAAAACCAGTTTTTCAGTTCTTCAGTGTATTTCAGCAACCATTCTGTTGAGAAAATGTGGGAGTTCTGTAAGGTGTAAATAATTCTTAAAGCTGTCAATTATTGGAAAATCAAGCTGATACTGCTGTGAATAGGCAAATGGTGGAACTTAAATGCTGTTTTTGGAGTTAAGGCTGTTTTCACACAGCAGTAAGTGTCTGAGACAATACAGCATGGCTGTGTGCCTCAGTAATGAGTGTTTATTCATGCTGCTTACCTTTTAGTGGTGACAAAGCAAATCAGATATAAATTATTCATCGTGCTGAGGAAGTAATGTATTTTCATTTGCTGGTTTCCTCTCAGTGGGAGTTTCTAGCTTTCAGGTGGTGATGACTTGATATTCTGAACAAATAAAAGTATCCTCAACATGAGGCTAGAGAAGCTTTTTGCATTGAGTTGTGGTTTATTTGAGGGGAATGAATTGTTTTGTTTGGATTTTCTAAGTAGGACACCAGAATCTCAGTTTTCAGGAATACTGAGCAGCTGTCATGGAAACTGCAGGTATTCATTTTTCAAAATTAAGCTGGGACCATGTGTAGTGGTCTTTCAGATTTTGCAATCTTGAGATCATCTAACAGAGCTAACTTGAGCGGTTTTCCCCCATTAGTTACTTTCTACTTGGACTTTGCCAGATATGATCCCCTATTAGTGGGCAAATGTTTTACTCATTCCCTGTTAGAGCTGATTCAGTGACCAAGGGATAGGTGTGTTACCCGTTCTCCTGAACTGCTGACCTTGCTCGGGCCTCTTCGGCTTAATTTGTTCGTGTGCAATGTTAGCCAATGCTCGCCTTTCTTCATTGACCTGCACCAGATTGAGGTTAATGAAATTGTACAATAAGCCAGCTGACTCATGTGTGACAGTATATGTAAAAGCAATTTTGAAGCCACTGCCTTTGTTCTTTTTTTTCCTAGTCTGAGGCTTCAAATTATTTTCAAATTTCTGTATTTGAGTTTGCAAATGGAATATGATTCAAATTTCCTAGTTTATCTGAAGGTTAAGGCTTCATTTTTATCTACTTCTTGAGCTGGTAATTTATTCTTTCTGATGCTTTGTTTTGATCTCTGTGCTTTGGGCAATGATTAATTTTCTGTATATGTTTATGTATACTTCTAATTACACGGTCTTTCTTGAATATTCTTGCTGGAATTTGTTAGGAGAGGGTGAAAATAATTTTTGAGAAACTGGAATCGCTGTTAATAGCTGAGTAGGTAACATTACATATGAGCTAAATACAGGCTATGGTGTTTGGAACCATTAGATTCTTGTCTTCAACATCTGATGCAGAAGTTTTCTTTACAGTGTGATTTCCTTTGAGGTCATCCTGCAGCAGCAGTATCCCTTCTTGGTATTCATTCTGTAAGGATGAGAGCGATTGCTGAAAGACTTGTGGCTTGGCTGGTCCAAATACATTAACGTAGTTTGTGGAATAGAAGTGTTCCATTACCAGATGTGCATTCCTGAAAGTGTGTGTGTGAACTGCAGCCTAGGGGAAGATTGGAAGAAAGGAAGTCTGTGCTCATAGAGTGTAGCTGTTGATGCAGTTTCTTTATGCCAGTCTTAAACCCTGGAATAGAGGTATCTGGTACCTTTTGAAAAGTAAATAGCAGCTAGAGGAAATGGGAAGCTTTGACAGCTTTTTGAATAACTAGCCCAAATTCTCATGTCAATCTCTAAAACTGTGTTTTCCTTGCCCTTCCCTGGATAGTATGGGTTGGCATAGAAACTATTGATTGAAGTCTACTGTTTTCTGGGCCAAATTTTCCCTTGGGATGAAGCTTATATGCAGTGTCCCTTACATGAACTTTTTCTATTTTTATTTCTGTCTTACTTAGTGATTATGAATTTATAAATGTCTGTTATCGTGGCTTTCAGAGAAATAGCTCTTATAGCAGATAAGCCACCTAAAGAAAAGAAATGGCATAATAGAAAGCCTACTTTATTTTAGTAAGAATTGTAACAAGTAACTGAGTATTCAGCATCTACACCTTCATGCTTCTTTTCAGCAAAGGGTCAAGCTACATTTATTACTCACAAGCAATCAGTACCAGCTGATTTCAATTATACCAAATTTTAGTAAATCTATAGTACTCATTGCCTCTTTTGCAGTGCAATGTATTAATTCCTAAACAAGGATTCCTCTGAAACACATTCCACAACTCATTTCCACACTGAACTGGGATTTTTTTTAAGTATATATTTCATTCTTTTGTCCTTACAGAATGAATTCTGGCATAACAATTAGCAGGCAGAATTTCAGGCTTTGTTGCTGGAATTAGACAATTAGGCATTTGGTATTCAGAGCATTCTAGTACAATAAATGTGAAAAACTCTTCTCAATTTATTATTAGACACTGGCTCTTTAATGACTATCACTTGAAACTGGAGCAGCAGGTACAACAATGGGATACTTTCAAACAAGCATTCTAATTTTGTTTTGAGAGATTGTCAGCAGCTGCGACTGTGTCTGTTTGCATCTTATATTGGTCAAACAGATTAGATTTTCTGTTTCTCTAGAATATATAAAATATGTATGTATATATGTTTCAATGGGACCAGGATTGAGTTTTTAGTGCCTTATAGTATAAAAATAAGCTTATAAAACAAAAGTAATTAAACTCATGTATCACTGAAAAGCAAAGCAGACATGTCTGTCTTCCTGCAGTAATAACTGTAGAGGCTGAAATGCATGGAAAATAGGAGAAATAACTAGCCAGTTTTCAAAAAGAAAAGAAATATATGTCTTTCAGGTGCCATGTTAAATACATCACATGTTGATGTTAAATATATGCATTTGCGTGTATATGGATCAGTATTTAATCTTACATCCAGATTAGTTTTTACTTGCTGGTTTACTTCTAGAAGCTAAAAGCAGAAATAATGCTAAGCAGTTTACATCTTCTGCACGTAAACAATCAACCTAACTTGAAGAGAATGTTCTACATCGTCCTCATAGGATACAGATGGTGAAGTAAATTATCCCCTTTTGAGCCTCTGAGGAGTAGAATTCCTGTGTTCCTGAGTCTCAGAACAATGTGGTCTGCCAGCATGAGGCATAAATCTTGCCAAATCTCTTCATGAAGAACAAGAGAGATATAGTGGGTCAGCACACAGAAGAATATAAATCCAGGGGAATTGAATAGCTGCAGCACAGAGTGCATCCTGTCCTGGAAAGTGGCCGTGTAAGAGAATACGTCATGATATTGCAGTGTGCTCCCCGACTGCTGCAGGGGCAGAGCTGAGACAATTTCCTTGCAGAAAGCTGTGGGACAGCTCAGTGTCAATGCTCTTAACTTCAATTTTAAGGTTTTTTCAAGTCACAAACGAGAGCACTCTCACTTCCATATCTAGAAATTGCTCATAAGGAAAATTTAAGCATGCTGCAGTTGAGAGAGAAACAGTGCTGTGTTAGCTGCTCTAATTTAGAATGTTAAAGACTGGATTTGCGTTGCACAGTAAATTCATATAACTTTATAAAGAAGCCTATTTTTTATAATAGTTAAGGCAAGGAATTCAGAATACCTCGCTATGGGGTTTTTTTCCCACAAAATTACTGGTTTTGTGGGCAGTTACTTAAAAAAAGTACCTCGTCTGAAATTGCATACAGCATTAACACAGTTTAGCTGCAGAAGAGGACAATGCATAGAAGTGCTGAGTATGTCCTGCAGTTGTATCCCAGAAATACTGACTGGGTGCATGTTAAAGGAGGACTGTGTGATGTACCAGCTGACAGGGGCATGCAGTGAGATTAAAACACTTCTTCCAAACACTCCTCAAGTGAATTTAGTCACATGTTTTCTCACTCAAGGTAGGAGTGAGGCTCACAACTGTCTTTTGCCACTGATGTGACAAATGATTCCGGATGTTTTTGGCATCACTGTAATACATGATCTAAATTCCCGTTAAATTCATCACAGCTATTACTAAAGAGCTTCTTTCAGTGGGTGCACCAAATTGTGAGTGGAAAAATAAACTGTCCACTCTGTTCCAGCAGTGAGCCCCAAGTCAGGGCCATGGGGTGAGAGGCATTAGGGCAGTGCAGTAGTGCTGTGCATGCTAAATACGTTTGGACAATAAAGGTAAAGATGACTCGAGTGTCTAACATGCTAGAATTGAACTCTGCTAATCAAATTAAAAGGCCTTGGGTATGGTTTTGCTACTACAAAGGTAGTTGAACTTGACCATGTTTGTGTTCTTTCACAGGTGGACATAATATGTGGTGATCACCTGCTGGAGCACTACCAGACACTGAGGGAAATTCGTCAAGTCATAGGAGAGAGCGCAGTGCAGGTACGTGTGGCAGCTGGGGCTTTGTTCCAGGTTTTCTCTTTTAAAATAAAAGATTGGTTCTTTCTTAAGCTATCAGGAAGCACCAGCTTGTCTGAAGAAGTTGCTCAGAACATCTTTCCAGCTTATGCAAAATGTTGTTTATCTTTTAAGTAGAGTTGAGAAGTGTACCATGTGCTGACAGTGTTCTTGACCATTTTCATGATGTTCTGGATATGAGGTTTTTGTGTTGGGTTTTGTTTGGGGTTTGGTTTTTTTTTTCCCCCAAAACAAAAAAGGGATATATTATATCAGCCATTCTTTCAGTTACCGTGGCTTGTTTTTCCTCCCTGGTAATTGCATCTCTGCAAGAAATTGGAGGACAAATCCTAAGTAAGGCTATCCTTGTGACTGAGTAAGGAGGATAAACTTGCTCATAAAAACACAAACCAAAGATGGAGGGTAGTGAATGCAGTTAATAGGCTTGATGCATATTGTACTGGTTCTGCTCACAGCATGGCCAACTATTCCTTGTTGGTAACTTACTATCCTTAATGCTGCTGGCTTTACAAATAAGAAAGCGTTTGGTTTTAATTCTTTGTGAACCTTTTCAAGCATCTTTATAATGGGAAGGATCACACCAGTTTACAAGTGCTGCAAAAACAATGAAGTAGTCTGCATAGTGCCTGGTAGAATAGAGATGTAAAATCATGATATGGTAAACTGTATATTAATATAAACTTTGAAGTTTGAGAAGGTAATGTTTAATCTAATACAGTGGGGAAAATAGGATTTAGATTGGTGTTTTATTTGGAAGCCAATCTAAGCAGATAGTAGAAGGTCTGAAATAGTTGCAGAATCGTTTCTCTTCACTTCTTTGTGCACACACATGCACAAACTTTTACATTTAAATTTCCTGCTGAGCCCTCTCATGCTACAGGGAGGCTTCTGTGTCAGGGCCAAGAAGTGGAAAGCTGATTTTGAGATATCTTGGACTTTGCATCACCTGTACCTGATTTGAGTCTCTAGGAGGAATCCCACAGTCAAGGCAGAGGTATTTGGCTTGTAGTTTTGGCAGACATTAAGTCTCTGAAGCTTGTGCTGTTTCTGCAGTCAAAGTGAATATATGCCATACTTGATGTTTTAGCTGTTTATATGTGAAGAAAAATGAAAATGTAACCTAACCCACTTTGAGGAGCAGAGGATAGAAACTGTGAGGAAGCAGGTACTGGTAACAAGCTTGTTTCTAACATAATATGTTCATTTTAAGTAAATTCAGCAGTCAGCATATAATGCTGGAAGTGCCATCTACTAAAAGCTTCAGTAAATGGCACGGGGATTATATGTCACAGGGATATAGTCACATATATGCTTTTTTAACTTGATCTTAGCATGAAAGCCTTTAATGTATGGAAAATACTCTTGGGGAAGCACTTTAAGGAATACTGCCTGAGTTTCATTTCTTGTCAGAAATGGATCTGCCTAGTTGAAGTTTAGTGTCTTTCATTTGTTGTCAGAAGTGGGTCTGCCTGATTGATGTTTAGTGATGAGGTACCAGTCAGCAGCTCCACAAAGAGAACAGTTGTCTTGGGATACATTTTGCAGTGAGGTTTCAAGTCTCATTTATTACAAAATCAGTATGCTAGCAGTTAATTCCCTCAAGACTGCTCTATTGGACAAATAAACAAAAAATATCTTTGCTTTTTTTGAAGTCCTGTGCTTTCATAGTCACTCCCGACAGGAAACTTGAAAGATCAGGTTCATCCTTAATTTTTCTTCATTTTGTTAGAAAATCTCTTAGGATACCAAATAGTTACAGTAGGAACGTTGCAAATAAACCACAGTTGCTTCTTTTTTCATATTGAAATAATTGTGACATTTTCATGTTCTTTAGTCTAACATTATATTATCTTTTAGAAATCATGAGGATGCATTTCTAGGATGAAATAAACCTTGGAAAATATTTTTAGATAATTATCCAGGAAAAAAAATAAACTGATAGGTCAAGTCTAAAAATAATGAGTGTTTATTTTTCACCAGGACCTGAAATTCAATAAGAGGCACAGTTGTCCTGGCCAGTGAGACATCTACAGAGGAATATTTGATGAATTTTACATTAAGCTCCAAGGGCATCTTGTGCCTCTGTAACTTTCCAGCCTTTCCAAATTAGTATTGGAGCTTGGAACGTCCCTAACAGCTCTCACCGGGATGCTGAGACACTCTTCAAAACTGCTCTTGTCATTTGCCAGTTTCTGATGTTCATTATAGATGCTTCATGCTAAGAAAATAGCTTCAGTAGCTACTTCTGCAACACAAAGTCATTTAAGGGAATAAACACTGGGCTTTTGTTTAGATGACTACAGCCACTGTTAGAGGGGGAAAAAAAACCTGCTGTTTTTCACTTGCTAGTTCATTCGTGTCAGCAGTTATTCTTTTTGCTGGGGAAAGTGATTTTAAAAATGCAGATAAATGTCTTTTTCCCAAAGACATTAATTTTAATGTGCATTCTTTGGTAGCATTTGCAATGCAGCATAACATATGTTTGTGTGATTTATTCTTGTGGACCATAATCACTGTGACTTTTTATTTTTAGTGTCTTTTACTCCTCCTGAATTGTTCTTAAATGCTCAGATTGTGAGCATAGTCTTGTGAAGATTTTGGGTCCTGTATTTGGTTTTTTTCCTGCTGACTGGCACTGTGTAGTGGTGCTGTAGAGCCTCAGTAAATTAAAGTCTCCTCTAGGTACAACTAGTAGGATTTTAGCTGTTCTGAATATGTATGTGCCTGTCCAGCAAGTGTGGGAAGATCAAGTGTGATCTGATGATCACAGAGTCAGTATTCCTGACTCTGGCCCCATTGTAATCTACTCAGGTTGTTTTAATTGAAGTAAATAAGCAACTAATTTTAGTGGTTGAATGTAAGCATGTTAGTTTCTGAGTAGTTGATAGAAGGCTAAAAAAGAATCAGCAATAAATCTTGTTTAATCTTGTAGATCTCAAGATGTTTTGACACTTAAGAAATTGGGTGGTTGGTTGAATCTTCCTAATTAGCTGGAAGTAGGCTTTCTAGCTCTGTTTAGGGCAAAAACATTAAAAAAATTGCTGCACAGAATTTATATAAAAAGAAACGACTTTGTTTTATTTTTAAAACAGTGTTGAACTTGTGGAATATACTGCAAGGAGTGATCAAAGACACAGAAAATTTTAAAGGCTGAATTTTGTTACCAAGCATTGAGATCTGTAATTAAGAGTTTGATCAAGTAGCCGAGGAAGGAAGCTTATTATTAACTTTATGGGAATATAATTTCTTCTCTGTGTTACCTTCCTCCCCTCTGCTGCACAAATGCAACATGATCCAAGCTGCTGGTTATTTTCATTTGTCTGAAACTGGGCCTTCTCAGAGTTCTGCATCACTGATGGATATAATGAGCTCACACATGGGAAAAGCTAAAAGGAGTGCCTTCCGTGATGTCCTTGGCCCTTGGCACAGAGGTTTGGCAGATTCTAATGGTTTCTTTGTAGCTCTCACCTTTTTGTAACCCAATGCTATTGCGCTATTTTTTTGGTCTCCTGAGCTAGGCAGCAAGAGCTGTGCTCTAATTTAATTACTGTGACCTTCTAGCACACATTTACTACGGAAGTGTTTTACTCTTTGCTGTGGGATTATTGAACTTGGAAAGTGGGGCACTTTTTTTTTGCTGCTGCTCTTATAACATCAGAGGGGGTGTATACTCTGATGTTTCAGTCTGTCAGTTCAACTCTATAGTTGGGTGTAACAGGTTGGATCCTTTTAAATTTTTTTAGGTCAGGGTCACAAATGTGTGGCAAAGAACACTGGAGAGCTTTGTGTTTCTTTTGAGCCTGAGTTAAACTGACTTGAGATTTGTAATAAGCAGTGAGAGCACATTCTCTGTTTGGGCTTCCTTTTAAGAACAGTGTCTAGAGAAAGACATGTAGAAATGTGTAATACTTTAGAAGTGAATAATTCCAGAGTAAGAAGTGCCAGTACTGGGGTAACTCTCAGTTTTGCTTTATGCCAAAGGAATTGCAGTGGGTTTGGCCTTTGGTTTACCAGGGATATTTCCTGTGTAAATAGATAATTTCTTTAAATGTCCTACTGTTAAATGTACCATTTGAAAACCCATTCATCAAAGAATACATTGTAGCATTTTCTTCTTTTATAAATATTTCTTTAAGAAACTGCCATAGAGGAAGAACTGATTTTGACAACAGTTCTCCAAAAAACGAAGCTTGAAAATGTCTTTATTTTCTCTGTTGAAGTAGCTAATGGGCACAAGGAGTAGCTTTGTGAAGGTGTAACAACGTCCTGTGTACCAAGAGGTTCCTAAATAACCTCATGGGACCTGTTCCGCATAACAAGAAGTGAGAACAATCATGATTCTTTCTTCATTTTGCAACGTAGCCATCCCACTTTAACTCACTTCTTCAGTGTCTAGTATAAAGTTCCTGTATCCTTCTGTATCGTTTTAGGAGTTAGCAATCTATTCCTGGTTAATAACAGGATGAGAAGATGAAGGAAAGTTAGTCAGTTGGCACTGATAACACAGGAATGCATTTGGGGGGTTTAGTTGCTGACCATTGAAGCTGAGGTTCATTGACATCTACACTACACTAGGCCTCATTTGTCATCATAAGCAGCCATGAAACAAAGTGAAGTGCATGACACTCATGGAGGAACATGCTCTGGAGCTGTCGGTGATCAATTGCTTAATCTTAAATTTAATCCAATACAAAATGGCTCAAAGATTATTTTTTTATGAATAGTTGAGGCTGCACAAACTAGGCAAAACCATTTTTACACAGATAACAAATTATGGTTTAAATATATATATATATATATTCTTCCAAAACACTGTGTTCAGACTAAAACAGCACTTTCTCCTGTTACTGTATGATAATACAGGACCTGTAAAGCGATGGCAGTCTTGTTACTTTTTTTGGGTAATTAACTTTTTCATTAAAGATTATTTTTAATATGCTGATATACCCTCTCACACAGAACTGTGTAACTTCTCTGGAACATGTTGTCTTACATCCTGTATGTTAGTAGATAAAAACATCGGAAGCAAAATATAGTAGATAATACTGTGTCAGTTATGATTAATGTAGTTCTCTCTTCAAAAGAAAACTTTTTTTAAGGTCTGTCCATGTAAAGAGGTCTAATGCAATAAGTCAGATTCCCATTGAAGGCAGACTAAGTGCTAGGCCTTTCACCAGCTGCGTGTGAATTAAGTGGCATTAGTAAAGCTAATGGGTCAGAAGTGTCCTGTTTCCCAGGTGAAAGGTTTTTTTTATTATGTGGAGCAGTCTATGAAGAGGAGAAACATAACTTAATAAACTAATGGTTTGTCATTTGGAGTGTTTTTAATCCAATGTGTTTATTACTTAATAAATGTATATAGTAGTAGACTCTTTTACTGCAACTTCTGGCAGCACCTTCTAGAACTACTTAATGGATTACTTTTTCTGCCCCACAGTATCATGTGGAAAGCAGCATGACTTGTAAGCAAGAGCCTATTGCATGGAGATATTTCAATTATAACTTTAAAATAAAATCAAAGTACCAGATTCTACTTTCTTTTAACACCTTTCTCCATCTCAAGGAGGAAAGGGCAACGTAATTATTTGCCTTCGTATTTCAAAACTTGCATTCTCCATGTGGAAGGGACACTGTATAAAATGGTGAGATTGTGCCTGGGGTCCTGCCATGCAGTGACTGTTGTGCCAGGTGGTGATGGAAATGCCTCACAGAAAAGGTGAAGTAGGATGATACAGTTTCTTTCTCTTCTCTATAGGATGGTTTGCTTGTACTGCACTATGGCCTGGTGGTATCTCCGCTAACTTAAAGATTGCTGGAATATTACAAGGCAAAAGAATCCGAAGAGTCATGGCGCTTCTTCACTGCTGTTTCTCACCAAAGAAGCCATCGTATTTCCTGTGGCAGGAAGCAAGTTAAAGGAACTACCACTAACTGCTGTGTGATCGTAGTGTAACATCTGACTTCACCACTGTAAAAAATTGCAGCTTCTGTAAGTACAGCTGTAGATGTTGGTATGCTTCATGTTACAAATTACTGTCTTCAAATTTCACTCAGCTCAGGGAATTTAAATGCTCAGAGTAGCTGCATTATTTTTACTTTCGAAAAACCACAAGATTTCACAGGGTTAACAGCCTTTTTTTCCTCTAAGCTCTGAGATATCTCTTGCTTTCTAAGTGTCTAGCTAGAACAGTGCTCTCAGGGATGATCTTCAGTGAGCAGTATAATGTATTTTTGGGAGGAGACAGTGAGTTGCCTAAAAAAATGTGTACTGTGATCATCTGTCTTCATATGTGATTTGGGGGTAGGAAGGAAACTAGAAATGCAGACCAAAATAGGTAGAAAACGATGCAGCATAAGCATTGGGTTTTTTGAGAAGTAGCATTAAATTTAGTTGTTTTTCTTGAAGAAAGACAATTTTGTTTGCACTGGAAGTATATTTGCTGGTAGTTTGGCTTATACCAAATGGTGGATCATGCATCTCTAGTCTTAATGGAGATGGGCTGGCTGTAAGCTGGTTAAACTATGCATGAAAAAAAAAGTAGCACCTCTTTCTATCTGCTTGCTGTATATAAAGTGATCACTGTCGGCGTGATTCTGCTATCATGAATCTGTCAACTGGCTTGACTGTCAGGAGCATAAATCCATTCACTTTAGCACATACCTCTCTAGCAGCTGTGAAAATGGTTGCTTTTTCCACTCTTTTTAATGTGTTTTAGTGCATCGCAGTGGAGACCAGGGTTGAGTAATGTAATACTTGCCTGTTACTACCAGATTTGCAGAGGATTTTAGGTAACTTTAACATATTAAAATACTATGGTTTGTGACAACTCTAATACTTCAAATTTTCTTCTGTTTAAGATTTCCATATTTTCTTGTGCAGCACTAAGGACCAGAGTGCTCTGTGTGTTATGGTCTTGCTGGTCATTGGTGTGGGGATCCATGAAAGCTATCAGGAGGCACCAGGCTTCCTCCCTTCCCTATAGTCAGTGTAGGGAAAAGGAGTCTCAAACCTCCATTGCAGTGGAGAAGCAGGTGGACTCAGAGCCCTGCAAGGCAGTTAGTCAAGGGTCTGTTGAAGATGAAGGCTGGAAGCAGGTCACTGCACCAACCAGGAGGAAGGTTGTTCCTCCTTCTGAAAACTTAACAAATAGGACTGACACCTTCTACAACAGCTATGAGGCCCTGGAACTAGAAGACCAGACAGCTGATGCAGTGGGCGAAGGTCCTTCTGGGACTGAAGGGTCCCCTAAACCAACACCACCTGTACCCCACATCACAACCACCTCTGTTAAGAGGAAAAGAAGGGTAGTTGGTGGTTGTAATGAGAGACTCCCTTCTAAGAGGAACAGAGGGCCTGATACAGACAGGACCCAACTCACAGGGTAGTCTGCTGTCTCCCAGGAGCTCAGATGGGACAACACTGGAAAACTCTCCAGTCTAGCAAGGCCCTCTGATTACTGCCCGCTACTGGTTGCTAAGCCAGCAGCAACAAAATAACAAAGAGAAGTCTGAGGGCAATCAAAAGAGACTTCAGGGCCTTGGGGCAATTGGTAGCAGGATCAGGAGCACAGGTAATAATTTCCTCAATCCTTCCAGTAACAAAAAATAATCCTGAGAGGAATAGGTAAATCTATCATGTCAACATGTGGCTCAGAGTCTGGTATAAGCAGAAAAATTTGTGGTTTTTTGACCATAGGATAATCTATTCAACTCCTAGTCTACTAGGTGTTGAATAGATTACACCTGATGGGATGCACCTTTCTCAGGGGGGAAAAAGAGTTCTAATACAGGAGCTGGTGGGGCTTGTTGATAGAGCTTTAAGCTGGATTGGAAGGGGGAAAGGGGCAAAACCAGGCTTACTAGTAATGAGCAAGGGATGGTGTGCAAAACTCGAGGAAGGGAACACTAATGGAATCCCTCAATCTGCCTCACGAGTTATTTGGTACAATGTACCACACTTGAAATGTTTCTGTACCAGTGCACACAGCACAAGGAACAAACAAGAGGAGCTCAAAGCTTTGGCCCAGTCCCAGAGATCTGATATCAATGGCATAAGTGAAACCTGGTGGGATGAGTTCTGTGACTGGAGTGCCCTCTGGGATCGTTACAGGCTTTTTGAGGGAACAGGCAGAGCAGAAGAGGCAAGGAGTATCCCTGCATCCTTTCCATAGCTGTATGTGAAGGGTTAAAATGTATGGAGCTCACAGTTGGCAATGGCACAGTTTAGAGCCTCTGGGTAATAATCAAGGGGCAAACAAATAATGCAGATGTCACAGTGGAAGTCTACTGTAGACCTCTCAGCCAGGACAGTGACACTGACAAATTATTCTTTGAGAAATTAAGGGACAATTCCAAGGCAACTGCCCATGTCTTTATGGGGGACTTCAGCTTGCCAGAAATCAACTGAGAGCATCACACAGCTGGTACAACCCGGGCCAGAAGATTCTTAAAAAAACTGGATGACAGCTTTATGGAACAGGTCCTAAGGGAGCCAACTTGGAAAGATGCCCTCCTTGATCTGCTGCTTGTCAACAGAGTGGATCTCATGAGCAAAGTGGAGATCAGTGGCCATCTTGGCCACAGCAACCATGAAGGGATCAAGTTTAAAATCTCTGTTGACAGGAGGAAAAGTGCCAGCAAAACTTCAACTCTGGACATGGGGAGAGCAGACTTCAGGCTGCTCAGGGAACTAGTAAGTAAAGTCCCCTGGGAAAATGTTTTTGCAGATGCTGGGATCCATCAGTGCTGGTCTCAAAGGAACACTAACTAAGTTTGCTGACAACACTAAACTGGGAGGAGCTGTTGACTCCCTTGAGGGCAGAGAGGCCTTGCAGAGAGACCTTGACAAATTAGAGAGATGGGCAATCACCAGCTGTATGAAGTTTCTCAAGGACAAATGGAGATTCTGCACCTGGGATGGGACAACCCTGGCTGTGTGTATGGACTGGGGAATGAGAGTCTGGAGAGCAGTGCTGCAGAAAGGGACCTGGGGATCCTGATTGATGGCAACTTGAATATGAGTCAGCAGTGCCCTGGCAGACAGGAGGGCCAACTGTGTCCGGGGGGGCATCAGGCAAAGTGTCGCCAGCTGGTCGAGGGAAGGGATTGTCTCGCTCTGCTCTGCACTGGGGCAGCCTCACCTTGAATATTGTGTGCAGTTTTGGGCACCACAGTATAAAAAAGACATTAAGCTATTAGAGTGTCCAAAGGAGGGTCACAAGGATGGTGAAGGATCTGGAGGGGAAGCTGTACGAGGAGCAGCTGAGGTCACTTGGTTTGTTCAGCCTGAAGAAGAGGAGACTGAGGGGAGACCTCCTTGGGGTCTTCAAAATCCTTATGAGGGGAAGCAAAGGGACAGGCACTGATCTCTTCACTCTCATGATCAGTGGCAGGACTCATGGAAACAGCATGAAACTGAGTCTGTGTAGGTTTAGTTTGGATACCGGGAAAAGGCTTTTCACCCAGTGGGTAGTTGGGCACTGAACAGGCTTCCCAGGGAAGTGGTCTCAGCACCAAGCCTGACAGAGTTCAAGAAGCATTTGGACAATGCTCTTGGGCACATGGTGTGACTCCTGGGGTGTCCTGTGCAGGGTCAAGAGTTGGACTCAATGATCCTGACAGGTCCCTTCCAACTCAATGTATTCTGTGATTCCTCATGTTGAGGTGAAACTGCTTGTGTTTTAGTTTATGGCCATTGCTCCTTGTCCTGTCACTGGGCACCACCGAAAAGGGCCTGGCACCATTCTCTTGGCACCTGCCTTCGAGATATTTATATGCATTGATGAGATCCCCTCTCAGTCTTCTCTAGACTGAACAGGCCCAGCTCCCGCAATCTCTCCTCGTAAGAGGGATGCTCCAGACACCAAATGATCTTTGTGGCCTCTGCTGGACCCTCTCCAGCAGCTCCTTGTCCTTCTTGTATTGAAGAGCCCAGAACTGAACACAGCACTCCTGATGTGGCCTCGCTAGAGCCAAGTAGACAGGGGGAGGATCAGCTCCCTTGACTGGCTGGCCACGTTCTTCCTGATGCACCCCAGGATACAATTGGCCCTCCTGGCCACAGGGGCACAGCAGATGGCTCAGATATTAGCTCAAATGCATTTGCTCACTGTCAGACTAGGAGGACTGGCATCCTTTGTCTAAAGAAAGCTTTCATGAATCCTCCTACAGGTCTTTACAATAAACATTCGGTTTTGTCTGTGAAGATGGCACCAAGAAAAAAAAAAAGTCTTGTTTGAAGTAATTCTTGTGATACTTCTAAAAATGTAACAAAAAATGTTTTAGCTACAAACTCCTATTTTACCTTTGAAGTTTGTATAAAAGTAGTGTTTAAAATGCAGCAGAAAATGAGATTATTTTGTAAACACCTTGTGAGTTGTGTTGATAAAAGATTATATATTGTAACAGTAAAATAAACTTTATTTTAGCCAATTTAAATTGAGTTCTCGTGTTTCCATGCCTTGTTCCTTATATCAGCCCCAAACTTATAGCAGATGATAGTGAAACTGCTGGATATGCTCTGGAGTTGTTAGAATGACAGCCCCAATTAGGAGGTTGAATGGTGAAGGGTAATGCAATACCAGAATCTCTGCTGGAGCTAAGTGTGATATTGTTAGCTGGAGTAACATGAAATCTCTGGGGCTCTCCTTTTAATGAGGATTTTGGTGAGAAATAGCTCGATAAAGTTGTGAAGATGATTTTTCAACATAAATACTGTAGAAATCATCCTATGTAGTTATAGGACCCTTTTTCATGAATGAGAACATGTTTTTATGAAAGCCACCTCTCGATTTTATTTTTTCATCTTTATGGCTGTTGCTATCAAGTCCCCTGTAAACTGGATCTTTCTCTGCCACTTGGATCAAGGCATCTGGCTCAAATACTCCATACCGGCCCTTCCTGCTTAATTATCACTCAGAGGCTTGTTTTCTATGTATAACTCTATGCTTAAAGGAAAGTTATCAGTGTAGTCACATTTTACATTGCAAATTCACCCTTACACCAGGCTTGAACTTTATGTCTACAGAAGGGTACATTTGCAGAGCTTAACAATTGTAGCTGATAGTTAATTCAAATTAATGTTATTCTAGGATGCAGCTGGCTTGCATAGCCCCAAGAGGACCGTGGTGCTGCTGGCACTGATGTCAATTACTGTTTGTTTGGGTTTTTTTTTAAATTTTAAAATAGGGCTTCTGGATATCTTCAAAGAGTTCTTCTGCAGGGTAAATCACATGCCAACTAAAATGCAGAAGGCCAGCACTTCTTAGTTCATTCTTTTGGTGGCTTAATGAGGAGGATTGAAGATCTGTTGCCTGTGATGTTTTGGCATGAATGCTTAGTGACCCCTTAATTCCCTTTTTTCCACGTCTCTCTCTATTTCTTCTTCACCTGCCTTCAGAAGCATATTTTTACCGTGGTTTTCCTGGCTGAACATCCTGCTTTCTTTCACCTGAAGGCACTGATGTGTTATCTGCTCCCCAGTGCTGCAGTGCCCCTAGGGCACATCTGCGTGCAGCAGGGGTGACCTTTAGCTATTGCCAAGGCTGACTTGGGGGCTCTGTGGTTTCCTGCATAATCAGTCTGCTTGCTTTAAAATGTGCCAATCTCCTTTCAGCTCTCCTACTGCTGTTTTATTTCTGTTGGTCTCCTTTTAACCTTGGCTTCCCTCCAGTCACTTTTGGTCCTGATGATAGAAGAGCTTCTGTAACAACAGGCCGTCTATGGGATGTCATCTCTGCCCTCATGGGAGATGAGCCAGGGGTGTGCTCTGGAAGTAAGGGAAAGTGTGCTTGGACTCATTCATTGTTTTACAGACACTATTGTTTCTTCGCTTGATGAAATAATTCTGCATTTACTTTCTTGTTACCTATTAAGCAATATCATGGCTAACACAATTCCTAATTAAATACTACTTGTAAATGCAGCATAATTCTGAGTTCCTTTACAGATCTGCTAATTCCCAGGAAGGGGAGATGATGAGCCTTAGTTTCAGGAGTTCTTATAAATCCAGAATCAAGCTACAACCAACTCTTGAGCATTGAGTCATACTGGTTACATTCTGCCTGTTTTATTTGTGTTCAATACCAATTTAGTATAATTAGAAGATAAAGCTTGAGAGATTGGTGAAATGTGCAGCTGAGCCCTCTAAACAGGGGGACCTGTAGTGGCCAGGGATAAATGTCATTTATGTCCTGAACACAACAGCGCACCCAGCCTGGATCTGTACTGCCACCAGACTGTGGCACACATGAGCCGGGAGAGCTCTTGACACTTATTTCCATAGATGTGAAACAATCAATGAGTTTTACTGAAAAACCATTCAAGCTTGTCTAATACTAGTCCATGTTGAATTTCTTTTCAGGGAATCATCAGGCATTTATGTGCAATGATTTATGTTAATACATTTTTAACGGTCACTAACAAAATTACATCCCTGGCATTTCCAATTTTACTTTTCTTTTGTGTGGAGTATCATTATTATGAAATCTGTGCTTCATACAAATGAATGGAGGGGGTTGGGATTCACTCTAGCAGTTGAGAGAGAGACTATTAAGAGGCAGAGGAGATTTTATGTGTTACGTTTCTTTCTTTTAAAGGGAGATTGTCACATTGTCCCCATGAATCTTCTAATATGCTGCATGCTCAATAGAGTGCACCAGGGTCCAGCCTGAATATTAGGGTGCTTTAAAATGTACTCGTTCTGCTGTGATAGATATCTGCTGAGAGATGAAGAGAATGTTGCAAATGGCACGTTCTCTTCATTTATCCTTTTCTTTGGTTTTGCTACCTCCTGTTTTTTCTGTAACCCTAACTAGTTCAGCAGAAAGAGAAGCAAGGTGACCATAAGTTGAATTTTACCATGTCATCTTTAAGAGACCCTTGCTGAATTAGCCAGTGAATGTTTACATTTGCTAAAGTTTCAGAAACTTGCCATAGATACAAGTTTAATCCCTGGACAGGTCAAATTTTATTGGTTTTGAGAGATAAATGGTAATCCCATCTGCGATGAAATGCAGTATTGATTGGCTGCCCTGCGGCTGCAAAATTCTTACTGGAGCTGTATCACCATCATTACTGAGTTTGGATTTAGTATAACAATAATGTATTTGTGTCAAAGCAGCAGTGATCTACAAAAAAAATATTTTCCAAAGTGGAAAAGAGAGCTTGTATTCTCTGTGTGGTAATATAGTCTATTTGGAAATGAAATCTTAAAATGTCTGTTTTCTTCCAAGGGAAACATTAAACAGTAGAAAAGTGGGTGGTGGAGGCTTGGCAAAGATTGAGAAAAATAGTGTGTTCCTGTGAGAACTGCCTTGGAGCGCTTTTCATGTGGTGCTGGGAGGCACCAGTCATTCCAAGACCCCACACTGTGCTCAGAGCACGCTGCCTGCAGCAGGCTTTTCTGTAGCTTGTGGTGACAGAAGTGGTTAAGTGATGGACCAGTGTCCTTTCTTGCATATACCTGGGACTGAAAGGTAAGAACTTGTGAGGTGAGAAGCCCAGCACCCTTCAAAAGGACCTGCAAACTGTTTTCTTCCTCAAGGGAAACATTTTGTGTTTTGGTGGCCATACAATAGTAGATTATTTGTGTGCCATGACGTACAGAACAGCAGTGGAGGTAGTCATCTTCCTCTGTGCGAGTGGGTCAGCAGAACACGGGGACACCTGAATT